CCAGGGCGCCCCCTACCGGGAACGTTGCGCTCGACCCGGTCCGAGGGCTACAGCAGGCAAGGAGACCAGCCTTGCCTCCCTCTCTATCTGCAGCTGATCCTGGCCTCTGGGGTGCAGCTGGCTACCGTCGTTATCTTTGATTTCTTCGTAGAAGTCTTTGCCCCCCGATGGCTGTCTGTGCCTCGATTCCTGTGCCTGTCCCTGCGCGTCTGTCTAGGAGTCTGTCGACCCACTTGACTTGCCTTAAGTCCGTGTGTCTCTCTCTGCTATACATCCTATCTGTAACCATGTGTGCCTCCGATCCCCACACCATCCCTTTCCCATCCACTTTCTTTCTCGCCCTTAGCTAAGGCAGGAGGAAGCCCAGGGAGACCCCCTCGAGCAGGGTCCCCCCACCACATTGTCTTCAGGGAGTCAGGACGCTCTTTCTGTCCCAGCTAGAGGCCCCGGGGACTTGCCTGCGGCAGTAGAGCCAGACTGTCCAGGGCCACAAGCCTGCTCTGGTGGCCTCCAGGGACTGGCCAGTGCTCTTTAACAGGCAGAGACACTGGTTTCCCTTACCTCCCGTAGTTGGGGGAGTTAAGAGACCATGTTTGGAAAATGCACAGGAAACAAAATCTAGATCAATGGGCGAGGAAAGGCAGCCAGCCGCTGGGTGCTTGCTGGCCTCACCCAGTCCCCTGAGACCACCTCCTCCCTCCACAAGGTCTCTTCCGTGAGAGTCAGGCTGAGTTTGAAATCTCTGATCAGTTCCTGCTGAGAGCTCCTGGGGGTTCCTTTAAACACCTCTTTTAATTGGGAGCTCCTTTCCTCCTAAGAGGAAGATCTTCTTATGGACTACTGAGGCTGCCTCTATAATTTGTGCCTCGAACCTCCAACAGCCAGAGATTTGAAGGCAGGGATCACAAGTTCCCGGCATCCTATCTTCCTCAGCACCTAAGCTCCAGCACCGACCAAGTGAAGTCTGAAGTTCCATCTTAGGTACCTTCTATCTAAGATTTCCCTATGAGCCCATTGTACAGGAAGGAAATCAAGGCCCGCTGAGAGCACGTGACTCATCGGTAAGTTCGGGGCCAGAACTGGAACCTGATGCCAAAACCCAAGAATGTCTGAATTTGTTTTTATTTCTTCTTGTATCTTAATAATTGATGCTGCTTATTTACAGTAGTGCTATGAAATTTCCCTTTAGAAATAAGTTCATGTTTTTAAAAAGTGAGTCCAAGCATTGGATAAATACTCCCTATTTATGTATTTTGCAGCGAGGTCGTGATGGCAAAAGTCGTGGGGCCGATGAGTAAATGACACTTTGTCCCTTTCACCTCCTTGTCTGTAAGAAGCTGGGAATGAAAGGACAGCAAGCAGCCCAGAGCACAACGCTTGACAATTGCTCACTAACGCCAAGGAAGAGCTCAGGGTTACAAAAGGCTTGAGATAGTATCAGTGTCTGTGTGCCAAGGGACATCCCAGGCACAGAAGGTCTTCCTTCCCAACATGGGCAGAACTGAGAAGCTGAACTGGGAGTTAGAAGTGTTCTGTCTCATCACCATGGGCTCCCAGCACCATCTCCTGGCTTCTCATCTCCCAAGGTTGGGGGAATGGGCACTTCTGGTTTGGCTCATGACCGGCCTGAGACCATTGTATCTTCATGGTTTGCCCCCAAGCCTTCTCCAAAGGATCGGAGTGGCTGCTTGTCCAGCCCTGCCGCCCTCTGCCCTCACACACTTTCCCTGCTGCAGGTCTCCATCCCTCAAGAATTCAGTTGATGAATGTAGCTCCATGGTGTGGCGCTCTCCTGTGTGCTTGAAGCCCTGGATCCCAACTTCAGCACGGAACAAAGCAATCAACTGAGATGGTGTTTCCCAGCATCCCTTGCTTCTCTGCCTCTGGGTACCACTTTTGATGCTACCTGAAAATGAGGAGGAAGGCAGGCCTTCACAACAGGAGCCCAAGGCCGGCTCTGCCTTGGCTGGCCGATGGGTTGAGAAGGTATCTCTGTTGGGACCCAGAGTCCCTCTAGCCATTTGGTCTGGAAAATGTGTAAATATAGCCCAGATTCCAAGGTGCCAGGCCTGCTTGGCACCTAGCTAGCTGCTTGGCAGCTCCTTATATAGACCTCTCCCTATCTTTTCATACCTGGTCTCCATGGTACAATTCCTAGCTGAAAGAAATGGGCAAACACCACCCTTTGACCTCCAAGCTCCCATGCCTGGGAGCTACTCATTCACTTTGTTCTTGTTAACTCATGCCTTGAGCTCTCTGCCTGAAACAAGGCCCAGGTTTCACAGAGTCACCAATGGGGTGGACCCCAACACCTGCAATCCTAGTACTCAGAAGACAGAGGCAGGAAGATCACAAGTCCAAAGCCAAACAGCTACAAAGAGAGACCATGTCTCAGGAAAAAAAAAATCAAGTGAGGGCCAGGAGTTCAAATGCATGGAGTAGGGACTTCAGTGAACAGGGACAAGGGAACGGGACTGGAAAGGGCAGTGTGGCCTCCAGGGGTAGGAAAGATTGTGAAATCTAGTAGACATTTAAAAGGTGTGATTGTTTTGTTTCAGGCCTAGGTCTAACCAAAGCTCCGGCTTTTTTACTCCCTGGGTCACCTGTGGTCCTGCTTTCAACTCAGTATGAAAATGAATTGGAGATTTAGAATGAGAAGCCTGCTTCATGGGTTGCTGACTCCACAACATGACCCACTGGCTCCTCGGAGCAGCCCTACAGCGTGGGGGATTCACGGGGGAAGTGGGGGAAGTGGGGGAAGCAAAGCCTATGTGAGCTGTCATTTGAGAGACACTTTCTTTGTGCCTGTCAACAAGACATAAAGCTCTCTTCACAGAAAGACTCATTTCGTAGCCATGGAGACAGTCTCTCTATTGCCTTTCTCCCCCAGTTTTAAGAGGAAGGTCTTGCCAGGCATTGGCGGTGTACCCCTTTAATCCCAGCACTTGGGAGGCAGAGGCAGGAGGATCTCTCAGTTTGATGCTAGCCTGGTCTATAGAATAAGTTTCAGGACAGCAAGGACTACACAGAGAAACCCTGTCTTGAAAAAACAAAAGAGAAGAGGGGGTTTCATGTTGCCTGAGATGGCCTCACAGTGGATATGCAGTCAAGATCATATCCTTCATGCTGGGATTGCAGACCTGTGCCACCACATCTGGTGTATGTAGTGCTGGGAATTGAACCCAGGGCTTCGTGCATGCTAGGCGAATACTTTACCAACTGAACTACATCCCCAGCCCCACTGAGCATGATCTTAAGCTCCTGAATCTCCAGCCTCAACCACCAGAGTGCTGGGACTACAGACACGGGCCAATGTGTCCGTGTCCAGTTCGTGATGTGCTGGGGATGGAATCAAGGGCCTTGTGCATGTTTGGTGAGCACCCTTCTGGGCTACATCCCTAGCTCCATTCTCATTTCAAAGGAGGACAGGCTAGCAACTCCATGCATTCCACAAAAGTGTATTGGGTGCCTCGTGTGTGGCCAACGCTGCTCCGGGCAGCACAGACACAAGCGAACAACACAAAGGTAACAGACGTCCTTAAGAAGACATTACACATTGTGTGGTAATGAAGACGATAAGGTTACAGATAAAGCCAGAGCAGACTCCGGTGTGCTGAAGAGGGGCCAAGTGTCACATTAAATACGACTGTCCAAGGGGGAAAGAGAAGCTGTCCACCACCACTCAGATAGGAAGAAGGAAAATACGAACCCAGGGATCCTGTGTCTGTTCTCTAGGCTTTTGTGCAGTGTGCAACATACTCTCTGGGACCAACCCTGAGCCTCACCCATCCTAAATGGAACCTCCTGATCCTGCCCCGCCCATTTCCTACTCTCAGCTCCTACTGCTCTTGCTCCCCTCCTGTTTCTCTGGTCTTCCATCACCGCCCATTCACACATGCAACCCTGTTCCCCAGCCCCAGTACCTTCCTAGCATGTCAACCCTGCTCCTGGTCTCTGGCTCACAAGGTGTCCTCCAACCCCTACTGCCCTTCGGGAAAGCCCTCCTGACAGGGCCCGCAGGAGCCCGCTCTGTAAGAAAAACCTCATTGTCCGCCAAACACTGAGCCCATTTTGTCCTTATTTCTCAAGGGACTTGTGAGCAGGCTCCAGACTGGGAGAGGGAGCAAGCTACTTCCTACTCTCAGCCCCGGGAAAAGGGGGCTGGAGGCCAAGGGCAAAGGTCGAGGCAGCCTTCTAGAAGCGGATTCCAGAGACCAGGCAGACTCACGCAGGCACAGCAGGACTTCACCACAGTGGAGTCTAGAAGGCAGTCTGCTATCAGTAGGGCGAGAGCTTGGCTGTGTGCAAGACGGCAGAAGAAAGATCTCTGCCCTTCCCCCGGGGTTCTCTTTGCCTCCCGTTGTCCCCCTGTATATCCTCCATCCTCCTGTCTGTCCGTTGGTCCATCTCCCTTCTTCCATGGACCCATATGAGATGGACCATGCAGAGACTCCGTTGAGAATGACAGTGTTTTAGCATCCTGCTTCCTGCTAGGCAGGCAATTTTAGATTGCAAGATTGGGGATAGCTCTTCATACAAATAGCTGATGCTGGGGATTAGACAGGACCTCATGTGTTAAACATGTGTACAGAACCAGGCCCCCTTTTAAATGGTGTGTGTGTGTCTGTCTGTCTGTGTAGTGTACACACACACCATGCCACACCTATGGGGGTCAGAGGGCAACTTTTGGGAGGCTGTTTACTTCTTCCACCTTGTTGAGTTAGAATTACTCTTATTATCTACAGCACAGTGTGCTCCAGGCTTACCAGCCCATAAGCTTCTAGGTAATTCACCTGCTCCTACTTCCCGTATTGCCACAAGATTACAGGGATTACAGCTGTACACTGCAGCATCTGGTTCTTTGTGCTTTCATCCGCCCAGCTTCCTCCCCCAGTGCTCGCAGCACGAGTTTTCAGTGTTCTCTAGGTGTCCAGTTTCTGACTTATTTCGCTTCCACTTGGCTGCATACACTAGCGGCCCAACTCAAACTCTCAACTCAACTCAAACTGCCAGATCTCGGTACCCAAAACAAAATCTTTGACTAGATCTGAGAAAAGATGCTGAGGGCCTGGGGAGTCAACTCAGAGGTTAAGAGTGTATGTACCACTCTTCGAGCAGACCTGAGCACCCACATCAGGGGGCTCACAGCTGCCTGTAACTCCAGCTCCCGGGGAAATGATGCTCTCTTCTGGCTTCTGCAGGTACCTGCACTCAACGGCACACACACACACACACACACACAAAGATGGAGAGAGAGAATAAATCTAATTTAAAAAGAAAATGACCGTAAGCTCTGTGAACCTCCTAACCCTTGTGAGCACAGAGGGTCTCTAGCACAGCAGGCCAAAGCCTCAGCAGGCGCAGGGCACCTCTAACTGGCCTCTGGCCCAAAGTCCACATCCTAGTGGGAACAAGAGAAGAAGCCGACCTCCTTGTCAAACAAAGGCTTAACTGGGTGTGGTTGGGAGGGGTCTAGATCTCCAGTTTGATCTGCTAAGTCTCCTACCGCCCAGCTTTTGCTTCTAAATATGGTATAAGGTAGTGAGGTCAGCATGGGGGTTGGACAGCCGTGATCGCCATTCCTCTTAGCAACGCCCCATTTCCCTCTCCGCCTACACAGGCCCCGTTCAAAGACAGGCCTCTCTTTTGCAGGCAGTCACCAATGAGTGAAAAAAGTGGCTGACCCTTTCAGAATCCTGAAGTTTCCCACAAGCCCTCAGGGGCAGCTCTGTAGGTGCCAGTTTGACTCCTCCAGTCACCAGGCTGCGGGGTAGCTGATGCGTTCACTGACAGCGGTGTGGGAAGGCTGGCTTCCTAACTGGGGGTCCACCTTCTTGTTCCCACCTCCTTGGCTCTGCCAGGTCCACGTGGCAGGACCTGTCTCTGTTCCTGGTTTCTTTAGCAGAAAGTTGTCATAGGTGGATTTCTGCCGTATGTTACAGAAACTTCAACTTCCCAAATAGGTTTAAAAACTAAAGAATCTATCTCCTCACTAATGGAATGACTTGATGGTAGCAGAAAGGACCCAGGTTCTCTCTTTTCCATTTCTCCCTCTGCTTCCAACCAGGTGAGGTCCCCGGGATATATGGAAGTCACCTTCAATATACCAAAAAGAGGAGTGGGGCTCCAGAGACGGCTCAGGGGATAAAGCACGGGGGCCCAAGTTCAGCCTCAGTAAATAGAGTAGAGAGTGATGGAAGAAGACACCCAACATCACCCTCTGCCTCCCCATGCATGCACCATAGCACATGATCACACATCTGGACACATGTGTACCTAGTCACGAAAAAAATACATACATAAATATTTGAACACCACACATACATACACGCTCAAGGAAGGAAGGAAGGAAGGAAGGAAGGAAGGGAGGAAGGAAGGGAGGGAGGAAGGGAGGAAGGAAGGAAGGAAAAAAAAAGGAAGGAAGATAATTGGAGGTTTCTCTCCCCTCTACCAGTTCCCAAATAACCACTCTGAGGTTTAATATTACTTACGAACTGTTTGACTAATGGCTCAGGCTTATTACTAACTAGCTTTTAGAACTTAAATTAACCCATTTCTATTATTCCTTATTTTACCACAAGGCTCGTGATTTGTTACCTCACCTCTTGCTTCTCTGGTGGCTGCTGGCATCTCCCTGACTCTGCCTGTTTTTACCTTTTATCTTTACTTGGATTTCCAACTAGGCTCTATTCTGCCTGGCTATTAGTCAAATCAATTCTTTATTAACCAATGGTAATAAAACATATTCACAGCATACAGAAGGGCATCCTACATCAAGAAGTAAGGAAGAAAGGAGGAAAGAATGAAAAAAGTAAGAAAGAAAGATTGAGCTCAGCATGCCTTTTAAATCCTAGCATTCAGGAGGCAGAAGCAAGCAGGTCTCTGTGAGTTTGAGGCCAGCCTGGTCTACAGAGTGCATTCATGGCTACACAGAGAAACCCTGTCTAGAAAAGAAGAGAAGAGAAGGGAAGGGAAGGGAAGGGAAGAGAAAGGAAAGAAAAATAGAAAGAGAAAGAGAAAGAGAAGGGAAGAAAAAATGGAAGCAGGCCCAACAGGCAAAGCATTTGCTGCCCAGGCCTGACAACAATTCCTGCAACCCATGTAAAGTAAAAGGAGAGAACCAACTCCATCGCATCGTCCTCTGCCCAGCTCAAGAGTGCCGCAGCAAACTCATGCGCACATAGGAATGCATACCATATACACATATAAAACAGGTATATACATGCATTCCAGACAGACAGAAAACCTATTGCCTTACAAAAAGGCAAGTTTTGGACTCTAGGAGTCTCTTTGGTTTTCACTGTAGTTTTAGAACCTGTCCTGGAACTAGCTCTTGTAGACCAGGCTGACCTCAAACTCACAGAGATCCACCTACCTCTGCCTCCTGAGTACTGGGATTGAAGGCGTGTGCCATCACCGCCTGGCAGACTCTAGGTGTCTTGTGGCCTGACCTCCATCATGGCTTCCCAAACCAGTGACTGATGTAAGCCAACAAAGGCCCACCCATGGAGATGGTGGGGCCTACCCACACATCTTCCCCATGAAGGGAAGAGAAGAGCAGGTGCTTGGGAGACAAGTCTTCAATGGTCACACACAGCTTCAGCATTTAGACAGTTCTCTACTCTTCCTTCTCTGGGGTTCTATGTTTGCCAAAGCAAATTGCTTTAAGGTAAATGATAACAATATTTAAGCAGTGTGTGGAGGCTCAGGCCTGTAATCCCAGCATTCAGGAGGCTGATGCAGGAGGATTGCCACAAGTTCCAAAGCCAAGCTGTTCTATTTATAATGACTTCCAGACCAACCTTGGCCACAGTATGATATCCCATATCAAAATCAAAAACAAAAAAATAAATCCAAACAGGAAGCTGGAATGTAACTCACCTTGTTGATTGCTTACCCAGCATGCACAAGGCCCTGGATCTCATCCCCGGCACTACATAAACTAGCTGTGGTGTACACAGCTACAATCCCAGTACTTGGGGTAGA